GTACTCGTATACCTAGTGAATACCCGATAGTCTATTACATCAATATACTAATGTACCAGTGACATAGCCAGGGGGGGCTGAGGGGGCCGAAGCCCATCCCCCCTGAAATGTTAAGAAAATTATTTAAAATTTATTTTAATGGTATATCATAAATATGATGCTCGCTTAATGAATTCTTAATTGTATTTAAAATATTTAAAAATGTACTATAAGTATGAAGACTTTACAGCTATCTATCTGTGCTTGTACGTATTTAATACATATAATATTGTGCATCAGTCGCGGTAGTACAAAATATTAGCGTTCTGCGGGTTTTTCGATTGCGTCAAAAGGGCGGATCCGGACATTTCGGCGTGGCTGTTTCGGCGTATGTATATAATAATAATAATTATACATAATATATATTCTAAGGGATTATACTGTCATACAACATAATCTATATTACGGTCTTAGTTAATAAAGATGTAGGTTTAGGTATAGTTAACCTATACGCTGTATCGATAGACGATCATTGGATAGATCATCAAGTACCTATAGTCAGTAGTTAGTATAGTCACCATGGCGCAAGCAATTGAAACTTTCCGTGGACGTGAAATATATGTGCATGATGGGTATATGTATATTTTTGATGCATTTAGTGCAAATAAACTAAAAAAGTTTTGGCGATGTCGTTACAAAGATTCGTGTAAGGCGAAAATTCATACAATAGTGGAAACAAATAAGTTTTTAAAACAAATAAATGAACATTCGACCCATGACTCGGAAGCGGCTAAGATTGAAGCTAATTCTGCAGTCACTAAGATGAAAAAACGAGCACGTGATACAATGGAGCCTACATCAAATATCATCAATGAATGTAAATGATGCAGAATTTTCAATTTATATTAAAACGATTTTTTCTTTAGCTTTTGTTAAAATTGACGACATTTACAAAAGTGTAAACTTATTATATGATGAACTGTCTGAAGAAATATGTCCTCTCTTAGAATGGTTTGAAGAAAACTAGGTAAGATAAGGGTAACATAAGGGTAATTAGTTATTTTGTAAAGACTTATTGAATTTAATATTTTATTATTGTATCTAGTCGACTATACATTGTAATATAACAGACAACAGTATTCGAATTCGGGACTCAGGTATTTAAAATTATAATTAGTATAGTGTTGATTGTTGATCAAATGCTATTTGGCATTATATATACATTTGTATATTTGTTTGTTACATTTGTATATTACAGTTTTACCAGTAATACGAATACTGGTTATTAGCTAGACTTCCACTGCGGATGAAGTCTAGTCACGCCTATTCAAAATTCAAAACCCACAAAAATTTAATTCGGTTTTGAACCCAACACTCGCAAAAAAATGTACCCGGTTTGCAACACGGAGCCCGCAAATAATGTTACCCGGTTTTCAACACAAAACCCTAAACCCGAAATATTTTAACCCGTTTTGACTCCTGGTTTTTTCATTGTTATCACATTTATTGATTTCATGTTCAAATCTATAAATAAACATTTGTAAGTGATTAGCGAAAGACACCTGACAACTGTTCTTATCTTTACATCTAATCGTACAATGTATACTATAATTTGTATTTGTATAAAAATTAAAATATAACAAATGTATCTACACAAACTGGCGACGAAAACATAGACCCCCCTGAGGCCGCTGGCTTTTTCTTTAATCAATACCTAGATATCTATGCTATACTAGATAGCGAACATTTTTACATTTTAAATGAAAAATGTGAAACTAGTTTTAATCTCACAATATAGATATCTGTGAATAAATAATAAAAGTTATTAATTAATCAGTTATCATCGACCAAATGATTTATTATTATCACAGAATACTCTACTATCCACTATATTTGTTTGTTTCTAAATAGATTGTTTTTATTGAACAAAACCAAAATAAAAAAAACTAGAAACTTTTATTATATAATAAGTGGACTGTATATTTCGTTTTGCGTGTGTCGTACCACTTGACTGGTCCGACGGCAACTAAATAATACGTGAGGACATAGTACGGCACAAGCCCACAATGATAATCTTACAGATAACGATTTCATATAAACATTACATCGATATTATATATAAGTATATTATGGTGTTCGCGCCGTAACATGGGCCCACCTTGAAACACGGTTTCAAAATATAATACATATTATAAAAAAGAATAATTAAACAATATAAATGACTTATTAAATATAAATTATTACAAACAGGTTTCATATGATTTTACAATAACTAATAAAAATAATAATAATAAATGTAATCGAATAATTAGGTGGTAGAACTAATGTTCACTAAATAGGTGAACAAAGATCAAAAAATAATACACAATATTATTGACTATCGCTACAATGAAGATAACAATGGTCGGTCATTAAATAATAAATATATATATATATGCTTATGCATCAATATGTATACTTAATAGTTGATATTAGCTGACCTATATAATATTTATAAATAGTGTGCTACAGTTGTACACGTTTAATGAGGTAAATATGTATAGTAAAAAATTATATAAACAGAATTAATTAACACGTAACCCGTGTGATTCATGTGTCTATGGGTAATGGACATAATAACCGAACAGCTCGCTTTTTTGATCCCAAATTCGTATGCACAGTAGCTACCCTTATGACACCATCAGGTCCTGGGTGAACATTTGTGACTCTGCCTAATAACCACTTTAAAGGAGGTAAGTTATTCTCCTTTATTAACACCATCGTCCCAGGTTGAATGGATGGTCCTCTGCATTTGGACCACTTGTTTCGTCCTTGTAGTTGCCCCAAATACTCCTTGCTCCATCGTGCCCAAACGTGTTGGACAAGTTGCTGCACTCTTTGCCATCGAGACAATCTATTAATAGATATATCTCTCACGTCAGGCTCAGGCAGTGCGCGTAGTGAGCTACCTATTAGAAAGTGGGCGGGAGTAAGGACATTCAAATCCGTAGGGTCTTCGGATATAGGGATTAAAGGACGGGAGTTTAAGCAACATTCTATCTGTGTTAGTACCGTATATAGTTCGTCATAAGTTAACCGTGAATTTGCAATCGTTCGATTCAAGTGTTTTTTTACGGCCTTGACTGCAGCCTCCCACAAACCACCAAAATGGGGGGACCGAGGCGGTATGAACTTCCACGTAATTTCGTGTAGTGTTAACGTGTCTTGAACGCGAATTTTGTGCTGTTCGGAAAGAAGAAGTGTGGACAAATCACTTAACTTTTTGTTAGCACCCACGAAATTAGTACCATTATCGGAATATATGGTATGGCATTTACCTCTTCTTGATATAAACCGGTGCAAGGCAGCTATAAAGGCATCCGTGCTGAGATCACATACTAGCTCTATGTGTACAGCCTTACTTGCAAAACATAAAAAAATGCATATATATGCCTTCTGTAGCTGTGCGTTTCTACGTGCGTGCGACTTCATTAATATTGGTCCCGCATAATCAACACCCGTAGTTTCGAAACATCTTAGTGGTCGGTTCACTCTTGGTTTTGGTAGAACACCCATAATTGGTTCTACAATATTAGGTTTATTTTTAAAACACGCAATACATTTATGGGCGACTTTTCGAGCGGTTCGACGACCGTTTATCGGCCAATATGTTAATCGTACATTTGCCAACATGGCTTGGGGCCCAGCATGTAATGACATTTCGTGCTCGTTTCTAAAAATTAGTGTATCAAAATGACACGAATATGGTATGATAATTGGATGCCGTTGGTCATAAGTTAAATCTGTCGCGTTTCCAAGTCGGCCACCCACACGCAATATACTGTCGTTGTCGAAGAAAGGATTTAATGACTGCAATTTTTTATTTTGAAGCGCTTCCCCAAAAAATTGATTTTGTAAGAGCCTAATAAATATTTTTACCGATTTTTGGATCTCGTCATTGCTGAGTGGACCCGAGTATCTTTCTTTTGCTCTTAATTTACTTGAAATATTATGCACATATACCTCAATGTATAGGCAAACACACGCTGAAACCGATTTAATTTTGAATATTTTTCACACAGTTGTATAAAATAATTTGCCTTTACTTCAGCGACCATTACTACTGTGTTCGACTGCTTTCGCTCTTCACATAGTGTCTCCTCATCTTCGTGTACTTGACAGAGTTCTTCACATCTCGCGTGCTCGTCCGTCAACCATGCTGGTCCGTTCCACCACAATGTACTTTTTTGTATATCTTGAACATCACATCCCCTGGATAAAATGTCAGCCGGGTTCTCCTTCGTATTAATATACGACCATGAATACTGTGATGTTAAATTATGAACCTTACTCACACGATTTGCAACGAACGGTTTCCAACGCATTGCATCCGATGCGATCCACGCTAGTACCACCTTAGAATCACTCCAGCAATAAATATTCGTAACATTAATTCGTAACGCTGGAACTATTTTTTTTATTAATTTTGATAATAGTAAGGCAGCGCATAACTCTAATCGCGGTATTGTTATTATACTTATCGGCGCAATTCTTGATTTTGCGCATATTAGTTGTGAGTGGCGACTACCGTCCGCGCGCGTGCATACTACATATAAACAAGCCCCGTACGCTTTGCACGATGCATCGGCAAATCCGTGTATATATATTTTTTCTGTGTCGTCACACTGCAACCAGCGCGGGACACTTAGATTATTGCATTGATTTAAATCCTTTAAATATTTTTTCCATTTTATTTGAATTTCTGTTGATAATTCATCATCCCAATTTATTTTTAATTTCCATAATTGTTGCATTAATATTTTAGCTATCACGATAACCGGTCCGAGCAATCCGAGCGGGTCAAATAGACGTGCTATATTAGATAAAATACTTCGTTTGGTTATCTTATGTTCAGGTATTGGTAAAGACACTTTATAAATGAAACTATCCGAGTTTGAATCCCAATACAAACCTAATGTTTTTATTGCTTCAGTTTCCATATTTAACGAGTATAGTGAGTTTTCATTAGGAATTGGTATATATTTTAATAAATCGGCATGATTAGCTGTCCACTTGCTTAATTCAAATCCATTGTTACTTAAACATTTAATTAATTCATTACGCAAATTTAAAGCCTCCGATAATGTTGAGGCGCCCGTTAAACAATCGTCAACACAAAAATCATGCTTTATTATCTGAGCTATCTCCGGACGTATTTTATTTATATCCGCCGATTTATGAAGACACGCAACCGATAAGAAACTTGCAGGTACCGTTCCGTAGGTTACTGTACACAATCTATATTTCTTAATAGGCTCATTAGGATCACCGCGCCACAATATGCGCTGATAATCTCTATCTGCATTATCAACCCATACCTGCCTATACATTTTTTTAATATCAGCTGAAAATGCATATTTATGTGTACGAAATCTCGTAACAATTAATGTGAGGTCATCTTGTAATATAGGACCTTTTAACAATACATCGTTTAGCGATAATCCAGATTCTGATTTGCATGAGCCGTCAAATACCACTCGTAATTTTGTTGATCGGCTACTATCATTAAGAACGTAAGAGTGTGGCATGTAATACGTTTTCACTGATAGGTCATTGTCCTCATTAACTTTCTCCATATGTCCCAAATGCTCATATTCTTCCATGAACCCTTTATATTGACTATATCGCTCGGGATTTTTCCCGAGACGACGCTCTAACGATAAAAACCTTTTTAACGCTATGTTATATGACTCGCCTAACATGTCTACGTTATCTCGAAACGGCAATTTTACTACAAATTTTCCCGTGGAATCTACTGATATGTGATCTTCAAAATGTTTTCTACAAATACTATCTTCCGACGTTTCGTCCATATTTGCATTGGAAAATTCTTCGATTTTCCAAAATTCTTCAATATCCTTTTCCAAATTTGAATAATTATCTTCACTTATTACAAAGCAAGCCATTGAATTATTTTTTGATGAAATTTCATTCACTGGTCCTACAATAATCCAGCCGAACATTGTTTGCTGCAAGTACGGACCCATTGTGTGCAGTTTGAAATTTCCCGAGCACATTATTTCCCAATAGGTGTCGGCACCAATCAATAAATCAATTTTTTCCGGCTTAAAACACCTAGAATCTGCCAACATAATATCCGCGGGTATAGACCATTTGTTAGTATCGATATTGTTGGTCGGCAGTTTTCCGGTAATTTTTGGCAATACCAGCATGTCTAAGGTGGCAGAATAATTATTTATACGTGACTTAATAGACGCGGTTACCTGATACGCGGCACGACTCACTACCTCATTTATACCTGTTATTGATTTATTTATTTTTGTTCTCGCAAGCCCTAATCGCTGTGCCATTGCTTCGGTCAAAATATTTATCTGTGAGCCGTTATCTAGTAATGCCCTGCATACAACTAGTTCGCCGCATGCATTTAATATATGTACCTCTGCAGTCGCTAATAGTACTTGTGCGCGCGTTTGACCACGGGCGGCGTGACTCACCACCACTTCCGAATTAGACACATTTGACGTAGACGGATTTTGTACAACTTGTGGTACATCACCATGCAGCAACGTATTATGCGCTTTATCACATTTGGAGCATACCCTTTTCGACCTGCACACCTGTACATCCGTGTGTCCCGTACCCAGGCAATTGCGACATAGGTTTAGTTCATCAACCTTTAGTGCTCTTTCATTCGCATTGAGTGCGATAAATTTTTGACACTTGTAAATAGGATGTGACTGTTTACATAAATAACATGCTAAACGATTGGTAGCAACAAATGCATTTACTTTTTTATTATTTTTAAATTGGACGTTTTTATCATTTGGATTGCGATAATTTTGCTTAGACTGCGTATAATGCGACGTATTTAATTTATTCGATAAATTTTTTGAGGTATCAATCGCCTCTAATATTTTACACCGTTCATTTAAAAATGTTGTCAACTCCGATATAGAGGGTAATATATCTTTGGTCGCCACAGATTCCCAATTTCGTATTGTATTATAATCTAATTTGACTAGAATCACATGCAATAATAGCGCACCCCAGGCATCTGGATCATGACCTAACGCCTTTAAAGCTTGCATATTCATGTTTAAATCAGCAGTAAACTTCCTTAAACACACACTCGACTCCTTTTGCATAGGTTCTAATTCATATATATTTCTCGTATAAGATTGTATGAGAATACGCTTATTGTCATATCGTTCTACGACAGTGTTCCATGCAATCGAGTAATTGTCACCTGTGGTCGCTAAATTTTGTATCAGAGCCAATGCGTCCCCACACAAATACATTCTTAAATATACAAATTTTTGTACACCTGCTATTGTTGGATTTAAATGTACCAAGGTCAAAAATAAATCTTTAAATGTGGACCACTCTTCAAATTTTCCCGAAAACGACGGTAATTCTAACGGCTTCATTTTTATCGCCGGGTCACCTCCTTGCGCAAGATTGCCCGGTATACTCAACCTGTTTATGCCACTAACTACATTTGAACCTTGTACCATAGTCTCTGCTTTTGCAACTATATCAAAATATAAATTTACAAACGTATCTCTGTAGTCCAATTGCTCATTACTGGTATCTAATGCCTCGATATTATTCTGAACTACATCAAACTCAGTCCAAAGTTCTTTTATTTTATCTAGACGTATCTTTATCTGCATGATATTGTTATCCACATCTACATTATTGATATATGTTTGGAATTTTGTCAGCTGCGCCTTTAATTGACCTCGCCTCAATACATAGACGGCCAATTCATTTGACTGACTACCCTGCATTATTACGTTTTTGGTTTTTCCCTTACTTTATATTTTCAACCTTATGAAAACTTTATTTGTATATATACGTTTTTAATTTTTTTTTTTTTTTTTTTTTTTTTTAGAATGTGCCTAAAGGAAAATGAATGGAAACTTGTGCCCTTATTTTCTAATATTTTTAGCTCACTCACCTGGTTGTATGTCGACCGATGAATGTTCAGCCACTGCACACTAGAGCATTGAAAAACAGGACCACTTTGACAATTTTTTCTTCTTTTTTGATTGTTCGATTTGACTATAATAATGCCACTGCACGGTTACTGTGTCCGCGGGGACGTTATATTTATTTATATGTATTCAAAACGAACTAAAGAACAACATACACTTAAAAGTTTGAACTAGACAATATGTCCACTGAACGACAACGAATTCGCGGGACGTATTTACGCAAAATGTATTGCTAGTCAATCCGGTTCGATTGGACCAAAATGTTTGTTTCTAAATAGATTGTTTTTATTGAACAAAACCAAAATAAAAAAAACTAGAAACTTTTATTATATAATAAGTGGACTGTATATTTCGTTTTGCGTGTGTCGTACCACTTGACTGGTCCGACGGCAACTAAATAATACGTGAGGACATAGTACGGCACAAGCCCACAATGATAATCTTACAGATAACGATTTCATATAAACATTACATCGATATTATATATAAGTATATTATGGTGTTCGCGCCGTAACAATATTAGCTAGTGGACTTTTTTTTTTATCACAGTGTATCTATAAACTAGGTACTTTATTTATATATTTACGTTATTTCAAGGTTGTAACTTGTAGATAATAGGTTAGTAAAAATAGTAATTACAAATAACGAATATTGAAATTTGAAGACCTAAAAAAACTGAATATTCTTACTACCTACATTACACTTTTACATATTATACCTAACTAGTGAATAAAATACTGTTATAATGAGTTCTGTAATTTAAAAATACAAAAATATAATATTTTGTATTTACCTCCATTATAACATGTACCTACTATGATACCATTATGCCATCAATAACTATTATTTTCTATGGAGGACGGAGGTTATAAATTATAATAGATATTAACGTGGAGTATCAGTTTTCAACTTTTATATTAAACGTGTATTCTAAAATTTTAAGATAATTAAAAAAACATGGTGTTGTCCGAATTCACCCCACATGTCTAAAGTCACCCCCTTTTACGGTAGTCATTAGTACAAGGATCTTTGGTTCAGACATTATTAAGGGGCCTCTCCTGCGGACAAAGTCTGCGCACGCCTATGGTGTTAATACGTATTATTATTTTGATATTTTGGTGGTGCCGCGTGTTTACTGTACAGGATTTTAATTTTTCTACTAGAATAATCAGAGAAAATGAAAAGAAAAGAAAAATCAAACTATATTGAATTTTGTCACAAAATAGCAAAACATGTAAGTAAAAAGTTTAATTTGTTAGAAGGCCAGATGGTGTTTGTGAATTATTAATATTATTATTATTAATTATTAATTATTTTTTTTTATTATTATACATTATTACAAATTACACGTAAAAAATTATTTTTGCCAATTTCAACCCTTTAAAATCAAAATTTTGAAAATCGGGCGATGTGGTGACACTCACGAAGGTATTTGGAACAACTTTGTGAAAAAAAATTGGAAAAAAGTTGAATAGCGTCGTCACAAAATTGGTACATAAAAAAGGCCTGTTCTTTTATATATATAAGGATCTTGTATTACATTTTAAAACCTTAGATTTAAAAAGAAAAATTTTTACGAATTCTTAACTTAACTCAAAATAATTTGCTGATTACCGTGATTTTTCCATATTTTGTCAATTATTGAACTTTAAATGCTTATAAAAAAAAACTGTGACTAAGGATTTTTAATATTTTTCATCTGCCTTTAAAACAATATACTAGGAATCTTCTATTAAATTTTCAAGCTTTTTTAATAAACAAATAAATTTTTATAAATATTCATAAAAAAAAAACTAATAAATTTGGAAACTGAAAATGTCCCTAAACAGTTCAAATTATCAGATTATTCAGATTATCGTGATTTTTCCATATTTTGTCAATTTGTCAATTTTTGAACTTTAAATGCTTATAAAAAAAAACTAAAAAGGATTTTTAATATTTTTCAAATGCCATTTTAACAATATAGTAGGAGCCTTGTATTAAACTTTTAAGCTTTTTTAACCAACAAATAAAATTGTATTGATATTTTTAGAAAAAAAACTAAAAAAAAAATGGAAAGAAAACACACATCATTGTAAAATCAATACATTCATCGTTTCACTCAGAAGCTAAAAAATTCAGTTTTACATAATTTATGGGTGCCTGATGTAAATTATCAATTTTCAGCTCAAGATTATGTCAAATTTAAACGTACTTTTCAGTTGAAATGGCTTAAAACATGTGTGGGGTTAATTTTATGAACACCAATACAGGACTCATAATATTCCTGATAATCAAAAAAACATATATTTTTTTTTTAAAGTGAAGTTTTCTTCAGAAGATAATCCATTTCCACTAATACCACTTTTGCGCATTTTCGTAAGTTTTAAAATAAATTCACATATTATTATTTATTATTGACCTTTTACTCGTGTTCAAAAATTATCACAAAATAAACTGAATTACTTTAACTTTAGAAATACATGATACACAATGCGTTCCGCGAATAAGTGACCGGCCTGCGTCATTTGATAGTATATAAGTTATGACAAAAAAACCTCTTAGAGGGGTCTAACTTTTTTCTTTTTTTAGTAATTGATTTTTTTAAACAAAACCGAACTTACCACACATTTGTTGACATATTATCTTCAAAACGTTTTAACTTTTAAAACTATTTTATTGTACTGTCAAGTTTCAACTAATACATACACAATAAAACCAGAAATGAACAAATTAATTTTTATTAAATTAAAAAAGAAAAAAAAATTAACATTTTCAAAATTAAATCATGTATAACTACTACATAAAGCGGAATATACTACAGTTTTTATCTTAACTTTATTATTCTTAAGAATTATACTTTTTTTATTTAATAATAATAAATTGTACATTTCTGTTTTGATTGTGTATGTTAGTTGCTAACACAGAAAAATAGCTTTAAAATTAAAACAAAAGACGATAAGAAGTTGAAAAGTATTGAATATACATCAAAAAATGCTGTTTGTTTAAAAAAAAGTTAAATAGCCCATAACTAAAAAAATTCAAATGTCAGACCCACCCTCTAAAGAGGTTTTCTTCATAACTTAAACCTTTGGTTCGAGTATCTTATACAATGTGCCTTAAGACTTAGAGTGTACTATCATATACGTCCATGAAGTTGACCCACCGACTTTACATGTTACAATCTAAACCTATACATACCAAATGTAGAAATTTTTTAGCAAATTTATTTTTGAAATTAGCAAATATAAATTCTATTTATTATGAGTTTAAAAAAAAAAATTTAGCACAGAAGATGCGCCAATAGTTAGAAAATAATTACCTAGCAAATAATAGAAAATCTATTTTTGAAGTTGGCAAATATAAATTCTAGTTTTGGCGAATAAATCATAGATTATGATTATATAGAAGTTACAATATATAATATTACACATTAAGATTCATTGCGTACAGTTCGACAAACCTAATAATACTGACCATAAGTCCATAAATGATATTAAACAATAATAATAATAATAATACAATAGTCATAATAATTAATATATTTGATATAAGCTAAAATAAAACACAAAAAACTTAAAACATAACATACAATATTATAAAATATTAATCCTTATATATATAAAAGAACAGGCCTTTTTTATGTACCAATTTTGTGACGACGCTATTTAACTTTTTTCCAATTTTTTTTCACAAAGTTGTTCCAAATACCTTCGTGAGTGTCACCACATCGCCCGATTTTCAAAATTATGATTTTAAAGGGTTGAAATTGGCAAAAATAATTTTTTACGTGTAATTTGTAATAATGTATAATAATAATAATAACAATAGCAGTCGTCCTATACATGTATCTATGGTTACGACATAATTGTAGTAATATAATAATAATACATCATTGTCATTTAAAAAATTATTTAACTACAATCGTCATTTACATTATGAGTAAAAACCACTGTAAACAGTTAGCAATACATAATTCATAATTCATTGATCAAATAAATGCGAGCCTAAAATCATCTACGATTTGGTTGAAAGTAAAAATATTGTCTCTTACTGTAAATATGCGAACCAAATTAACAGGAGATATACACGCAGGAGAATTTTCTACATTACTCTTAAATATTGGTAGCGGAACTGTAAATGATAAGGATGGATACATAACAATTGTAAAAAAACTAGCAGTATCGACAAATTCGTTGGAACAACTGATACAAAGTGTGTACCAAGATATTGGGAATTTGAAAAATCTGAATACTGAATGGTTATGCGAACGCGTTATTTTAACAACTACAAATAACCGAGCTGACACAATAAACTCACTAATAGTTAGTGGATTTCAAGCACTAGAAATGGATTACTTTTCTATCGATACAGTTATTGATAGTGAAGAATCGGTACATTTTCCTACAGAGTTCTTAAATTCACAAACACCATCTGGTATGCCTCCTCATAAAATATCACTGAAGGTGGGGGTTCCAATCATATTATTGAGAAATTTGAATTCTCCTAGATTATGTAACGGGACTAGGCTTCGTGTCACCTCTCTTACAAAAAATGTAATCGAAGCTGAAATTTTGACCGGATGTGCTAAGGGAGAAAAAATATTTTTACCGAAAATACCATTATACCCTAACGATTTTCCAGTTAAGTTTAGAAGAGTTCAGTTTCCAATAAAAGTCTGTTTTGCAATGACAATAAACAAAGCTCAAGGTCAGACTTTAACTTATTGTGGTGTAGATTTAGAAAATAACTGTTTCTCACACGGACAATTGTATGTGGCATTTTCTAGAGTTGGAAGACCTGACCATTTGTAC